AAATCATGTAAGAAGTTGATTTTATACTTAAAATCATGTGTCCTTGACCTCTGTTTCGTGTCCTTGACATTATCTTGTACATGTAAGATTCCTCTAGGTTCCCTGCCTCACGAGAGAGCTAATTTAACCACGCCCGCAGGATTCGCCATCAAATCTTCGTCACTTCCGGGAGCGGGGATGGGCGCATGGGCGGAGACCTTTGTTCCGAAGTTCACGATCCTCGGTGTTTATGAAGGACTTATTCACACTGTAGACAAGAAGGAGGATTTTTATTCATGGCAGGTAAAATTATAAATCGAATCAACCAAAATGAAAAACGAAATGAAGTTGCATATTTTAGTTACATATTCCTAGACCCCTGTCATTGAAACCAGATGGACTAGAAAATTTTCCTCTGCTTTCGTTTCTCCCTGTCCGCCTGTTTATCCGTTTGACTAGCTTCTGTGTATTTTGCTTGACTTTGATGAGTTATAGATAAATTTTTATTTTTGATCCACTTCAATGATTTCAGATAAAATTTTCAATTTAAGAGGAAACCAGATTACACGGTAGGGGACTAGTATTGCTAATGTAACACTCTCACGCTTTATTTTTCAGATTCTTTTAATCCCTAAATATTCATTACCTCAAAGTTATTTTGATCAACATGGATCTGATTGTCATCAAGTATAAAATATATAACATATTCTGAACTAAAATTCATTCTTAAACATAAGGATCTTATTGTTTTCAAAGGTAGATAAACAGGGGAGCGATGGTACTTACAACATAGATGCAGAAGATCCGGCCTGTAGTAACTGGTTACGATTCGTTAATTCTCCCGCCAAATATCAACAGGAAAATGTCGTTCCTATCACGTGCGAGGGCATCATCTTCTATATGACGTCACGTGATATAGAGCCGGGTGAAGAGCTTCTTGTCTGGTATGGGGATGGATATGGGAGGTTTTTAGGCGTAAACCGCATACATCCGGGTAATGAAACAATACACTTTATGGTTAATTGTTTCCATCCGGGTATTTAAACAATCTACTTATCAGATAACTTGACCGTATACAATGTGGTCATTAAAACATTTTTATGCCCGCATGAACAAAGTTTCGGGGGTTTATAGTTTTTGTCGTGTCCATCCCTCTGTCTGTCTGTCTGTCTCTCTCTCTTTCTCTCTCTTTGTGTGTCTCTCTGTCTGTTTGTCTGTTTGTACGCGAAAACTTTAATACTGCCCATTGCTTTTGATTTAGTGGAGCTTTGACTATCATATTTCACATGTGTATTCCCAGTTTTACATAAAAATCCAAACTTTTACTTTGGCCATATCATTTGAACATTGGATACCAGGGTTGTTATAATTTACATATAAGTCACATATATATTTTGTTAAGAGACATTTCATTGGATACCAACAACTTTGACCTTGGAGATTTTAGTACTTGTGAAAAAAACGTGTATCCTTGTTATAACTTTTGAACAGTAAGGCCTAGGGCTTTTATGTTTTACCTAATTGATCCTTGTGACAAGAACTTTCATTTGATATTAAAATTCTTGACCTTGGAGTTTGACACATTTTTACACAAAAAATCTAACTTTTACTTTGGCTCTAATTTTTCAATGGTAGATTCTAGGAATATCATATTTTAAATATCAAGTCTTCGTGACAAGAGTTATCTATTGAAACCAACAATTTAAACCTTTTGGCCTTAGAAATTACGCATTTACAAGAAAACTTTACCTGGCCATAACATTTGAATTGTAAGATTTAGGTCTTTCAAACTTCACTTATGTAGTCATTGTGAGAAGACCTTTCATTGGATTTCTATATATATATATATATATATATATATATATATATATAGGTATATGAGGTTGTTTGTGGGCACCGAGCTTCTAAGCTGGTTTGTGGGATCTCGCATTTCTACATTACATAGCTATGCCATATTCATGATTTAGGCGTTATATATGGTCCTTATATAATATATAACATAATTTTTGAGTTTATATTAAAAATATTGTATATAATTGTGGGTCAAAACATTCATATATATAGAACATTGTGGGATAAACTATATAAATCGCACAATGCTCTTCATATATTAATTCTATGACCCGCAATATTTTTTATGCTATATAATAATATTATTTGCTGTAATTTACAATGAAAAGACATTAGAATTAATGTTTGATAAAATATCAATAAATATATTCATGTGTGTATATTTACTTATGTACAAAGTAGAATAATCCATTAAAAACAGTTTCGCTGATTTCAATATAAAATTTTCATATTAAATAATATTGGTTTACTGCGATACATTATTTATAAGAATCGTAACAAGATATTCTATGGATATCCTAGTGTATTTTATTTTAGATTTTAGTGTAATTCATACAATCAACTGCCCAACAATGTTATATATATATAGTGACCCACAAACAGCGATAATCATTACATTTATTACACATAGGGTGTCCCACAATAATGTATAATAACGTGCGGTATATATATCCCATAATTCATTATATACATAAACAATGACCCACAGTTTTAACTACCTGTAATATATTAAACCAACAATTCATTATTAACATACAATGTATATACAGGGACCCACAATAAGTTTTAATCAAGTGCAATGTATTTATTGCACAATGCGTTATAAACTTGTATACAGTGACCCACAGACTGGTATGATCACTACATTACCCCCCCCCCCCACCCCCCATTTTTTATATACATACAGTGAACCACAATCAGTAATATATTTATGTATTTTTTGTTCTAAACATAAAGTAGAGAACGAGTGCCACGTTTTATTAAATTGTACAGAATACTCAAAATACAGATCAGATTTATCAACTAGCGTTTATTGCAACCCAACATTTTCTATGTCGGATCTAAATACTTTTATTTTCCTTTTAACGCATTTTCCTAGGCACACCTGAAAATATTTATATTAATCATACATGCAAATGCAAGCTTTGTTGTACAGAAAACCGCTATGCAAAATATTTTTGTGTAGCGGTATATATATTTCATTTATTTTTTGTTTAATGTGACATATAGGTCTGAAGGGCCGAGTGTTTGAATATTTCTATTAAATGTTTCTGTTATGATTGTATTGTATGATAACACATGCCGCTATAATAGACAATTTACGTACTTATTTATCCAACAATTCTTTATAATATATAAACAGTGACCCACAATCAGTTATAATCACGTGCGATAATTTATCCCACAATTCCTTTTATATTTATAAACAGTAACTCACAATCAATTTTAATCAAATGCAATATATTTATTCCACAAAATTTTCAGTACTACTTTATAATTACTTTCGGGTCATATCAAGAACGAGTGCCACTTTTATTAAATTGTACAGAATACTTGAAATACAGATCCGATTTATTTACCAGCATTTATTGCAACCCAACTTTTTTTATGTCGGATCTAAATACTTTTATTTTCATTTTAAAGCATTTTCCTAGGCACACCTGAAAATATTTATATTAATCATACATGCAAATGCAAGCTTTGTTGTACAGAAAACCGCTATGCAAAATATCGTTGTGTAGCGGTATATATTTTTCCTTTATTTTTGTTAAAAGTGACATATAGGTCCGAAGGGCCGAGTTTGAAAATTTGTATTACCGTAAATGTTTCTGATATGATTTATTGTATGATAACACATGCCGCTATAATAAACGATTTACGTACTTATTTATCCAACAATTCTTTATAACATATAAACATTGACCCACAATCAGTTATAATCACGTGCGATAATTTATCCAACAATTCATTTTATATTTATAAACAGTAACTCACAATCAGTTTTAATCACATGCAATATACTTATTCTACAAAATTTTCAATATTACTTTATAATTACTTTCGGATCATATCAAATAATGATTCACTGCGATACATTACTTATAAGAATTTTAACAAGATATTTTAGGGATAATTTTATCCTCTCTCGAAATATAATTTATACAATCAACTGCCCCAAGATGTTATATAGATATAGTGACCCACAAACAGCGATAATCATTACATTTGTTATACATAGAGTGTCCCACAATCATGTATAATAACGTGCGGTATATTTATCCCATAATTCATTATATACAATATATACAGCGATCCATAGTTTCAACCACCTGCAATATATTATTGCACAATTCATTATGTACATATATACAGTGACCCACAATCAGTTTTAATCAAGTGCAATATATTTATCGCACAATCCGTTATAAACTTGTATACAGTGACCCACAGCCTGGTATAATCACTACATTAACCCCCCCTCCCCTTCATTATATATACATACAAACAGTGACCCACAATCAGTAATAATCACGCGCAGTACATGTATATTTAGAAGTAGAGAACGAGTGCCACTTTTTATTGAGTTATACAGAATACTAGCGTTTAATGCAACCCAACATTTTCTATGTCGGATCTAAATACTTTTATTTTCCTTTTAACGCATTTTCCTAGGCACACCTGAAAACATCTATATTAATCATACATGCAAATGCAAGCTTTGTTGTACACAAAACCGCTATGCAAAATATCGTTGTGTAGCGGTATATATTTTTCCTTTATTTTTGTTAAAAGTGACATATAGGTCCGAAGGGCCGAGTTTGAATATTTATATTACCGTAAATGTTTCTGATATGATTGTATTGTATGATAACACATGCCGCTATAATAATAGATTTTCTTACTTATTTATCCAACAATTCTTTATAACATATAAACATTGACCCAAAATCAGTTATAATCACGTGCGATAATTTATCCCACAATTCATTTTATATTTATAAACAGTAACTAACAATCAGTTTTAATCACATGCAATATATTATTCCAAACTTCATAAAATGCATATATACAGTGACCAACAATCAGTGAAAAACATGTGCAATATATTTATCCCTCGTCCATTATATACATATATATATATATAAACAGAGACCCACAAACCGGTACAATCACTACATCAAGCCCCCTCCCCCTTCAATTCTTCATATGCATAATTATACAGTGGCCTGCAGTCACTTTAAATCACATGAAGTATATATTTATTAATTTATTTATTATACATGTATACATAAGGGGTGTTAAGAAAGTTCGTTCCAAGATGACATATTTTCAAAAATTTCAATAAGTGCTTAACTAAAGAGATGGATTTTCAAGTCTGACAAAATCACAAGAGTGTGCTTTAGATTTATAGCAAATAATTTCTAGCAGAAAATTATAGGATTTTTCTTCCATATGAAAAAATATATAACATCTTTTAAGCACTCGAATGATAGAAATACTGGCCATTTTGAGTGAAAATAAAGGGTAGTTTACTTTTGTTTCTTCATAGCTTATCTTGCATCAGACAAGCTGATCAGCGTAGGTATAAGAACGATATATCACTTTTCAAAAGAATATGTTTGTTAATTTGAAAATATTTCACAGATTTGATAATTTTCGCATAGTATTTGAAAGGATGTTTTGACCTGCTTGCTGAATATATGTTACGAATATGTATCATCCGTAATTTTTCTGAACAGACATAATCTGTTTTTTGGAGTCTGTAAACAGGAAATATCACAAACTGTAAATATCTTTTCATCATATTTCTTTTTGAAAATAAAAGAAAAATGTGGAACGGACTTTCTTAACACCCTTTATATTCAGTGACCAACAATTTAATTAGTTAAAATCTTGTGCAATTTATAAATCCCATATTTCAGTATATGCATATATATAGTGACCCACAAACAATAGGTTTTACGGTATGCGCATTTAATTATAGTGAATCTCAGAGTGGTATGCATGTAAACTAACTTTATTTATCCCATAATATATTATACATGTATATTCAAATGTACAGTGACCCACATGTATAGTAACTATAGTTGTTGTCATATTATAATATGCAAAAGTTATGACCATGGTAAAACTGTTTAATTTTGAGGTTGTGAATGCCTTTAACCTAATAAAATAATCCATACTAAGCCGAA